CTGGATAGCTGGCCAATCAGAGCACACCTCGCTTTTCAGACCGATGAGCTTTGTAAAAATCGACACGTTTCAGAAAGTCGGGGCATAGAGGAGAAACAATAATGTACAGTATGTGGAAAATATTGTTTTTTTTTTTAACCTTAAACCACATAAACACATTTCATTACACCAAATACACAAAATAATGTTCTTTTTAGCCACATCATATGACCCCTTTAACAAAAATTACATTTTTAAGGCGCTAATTTTTTTTTAATTCAGTTTTATTTTTACCAAATTCTGTTGTCCATTCGTTTTCTCAATTCCATTTTAATGGTTTCATTAAATTTAATAATCAAAAGCATCTCTAATTAATTGATTTTATTAAAAAAAAAAAATATATTTTATTAATTAGTTTTTTTTTTCAGAAATAAGGTGTTGTGTATTTACATTTTTCTGCTAGATATATTCTGGTAAATATTCCTTTAAAAATAATGTTTTAATAATGCTTTTATTATTAGTGGTAGTACTATCTTTACATTAAGTAATATTTCTGTAACTGTTTCTTCAAGCTAAACCAAATTTTATTTTGACGGGTTGTTTTACCTTTAGGTTTCTGTTTATATATGACATGACGATAGTTTTACTTAAAACTCCAGAGCAGTTCTAAAGATTGTTTATGTGTTCATGTACTCATAAAATGAGGCTGCAGAGGCTGAAAACACCGTGAGCGTGACGCGCGCTTCAGTAGTAAACGAAACCATGCATTTGCGCCATTCATTCACAGAGACACGCAGAACATGCAGGATTCATATTTAAATGGTATTTTTGCAGCTTAATATTCACAGACACTGGTCCATAGCGTGTTTTGATTTAGGTGTACTGACCTACTTTTGATGTAAACATGATGTATACACATGTTTTATTTATTCCGTTTTTGTGACTGGATTCCGTATCGTGCAAATCATAGGGCCCTGCAAATTGCTGTTTGTGGGCCCAAAAAGGATAGTGTCAGCTCTCAGTTGCTTTCCCGCTGTATTCTGTGTTTTGTTGTTTAAAACTTAAACTTCCTCTTATGGAAGTTGCTTGAGAAGTGTGCTTGTGCTATGATTCTTTAAAATAAATTCAACTTTTGATGACAAAGACAACATGTGCACAATGTCTACAGTTTTAACTGCGCTTTAAGTGTTATATTTAAGTTGCTTAATTGTAGGTTCTCTGTAATACAAAAGACATTTTGTTTTCCCTTCTGATATAGGCTACTTAGAAAATTGCTTACCAACAGATATTTTTGCCAGAAACATGCTTTGCATATGCTAATAGATGCGGTGATTATTTTGTTCCCTGTCACTTTGAGCTGCATTAGTATCGAGCTGAAATTTACTCTCGTCGGACGGTAATCAGACTGTTAAGTGATACATGGATCTGCAATTACATATGAATGCTCCTTAGCTCATATCATCTCCACGGAACGTAAAAGTGGGCTGTAATTTTCACTCTTTCACAGCAGCGTGGAACTAATGATAGGATAGTCTTGATTACTGTCCATATTCATTGTTGTTCATGTTTATTTTTTCACTCTTATTGGGCAGATGTGAAGTTGGAACAGAGAACTGGGTGCAGTGTAACGACTCGCCTGTAAAGATCTGCAAGTATCCTGTGCAGGGCCTGTTTGAGGGACACTCTTATTACTTTCGCGTGCGTGCCGTCAACTCTCGTGGCATTGGCAGACCCTCCAGAATGTCTGAGCCCATTGCCGCTCTGGACCCTACAGAGTTTGAGAGACTTCATGGTGAGCAAAACTAAGTCCTCATGAAGTTACATTTAGTGATCAACTCTGTACGTGTTAATAATGCCCTTTATGTGCTGCTGTTTTGTGTCAACAGCCACAAAACTTGGTGGAAGACTTGATGTTGTGACTTACTATGATGACCTTGAAGGTAACCATGGAATTTTATGAAATCTTTAAAAAATAATGGAAAAGACATGGACATTTCTATAATAATAATTAAAAAAGGGCAAGTTATGGCAAGTTCTAAAATATTTAATAGTTCACATATTTCATGTATAAATCACTTTTTGTTGATGCAGTCTCTATAAAATTGTATATATTTTTTAAACATATTATTTAATTGCATGATCACATGATCATTAATGACTACTATATTATAGTGACCATTTCATGTATATGGCTTTCTCTATTGTTGGACAATCCAACGGAGATGTTCCTGTTCTTCAGTGACCTTTAAGAACTCAAAAGTGATCTGTAAACCACTTTAACTGGAACATTTGGGCGACGTTATGCAAATCTTCCCACAGAGCGACGTAGGTATGTGGGGGCGTGTTAGAACGAGCCGTTTTAGGTAGGCGTGGCTGACTCTTAACTTTTATAAAGAATATCTCTTTGGATTTGAAACTTTAGTCTTTGCAACTTTACAGATCTTCTTTATGCACCAAGAGCTTGTAACACTCCAAAGAGAAAGGAAAAATTGAAATCGCATCATATGACCCCTTTAAATATTGTGGGGTGGAGCTGCCTTAAAATATTCTTCCTTTTGTCACTCAGTCAAGTTTGTGTGTCTTTGAATTTGTATTATGTATTAGATGACAGCAGCTGTCACTTAGTGCTTTTCCCCCCTTTTTGCTTTCAAAATTAGCAATAATTATCTAGCCCATAATTGGTTCTCTTCTGAGAGGTACTGATTAGTTTTTGATGAGGATTCCATCAGGAAGGGAACGTACAAACATCTGTGGTTCTTTTTCAAGTTGAAATTAACACATCAACCAGTGTCGCACATATGTGTATGTGTGTGTATATTTATAGCAGCGGTGGTGGCGGTGGCAAAGATGATATTCGCATATCAGTCCATAATATTAAAGTTGCTTTTAAAGCTAGCGAAATTGCTAGGAAATTTCCTAGTGTGTGTGTGTGTGTGTGTGTGTATATGTGTATTGGTGTGTATATGTGTTCAGAGTAGAAACAGTAGTTCTGTTTGATGTGCTTTGCCTGCAGCCGAGGGAAAAGCTCCGGGACCTCCCTCTAAAGTCTGTGCTTCAGAGACGGACCGAACATATGTTGTGCTCAGTTGGGTCCCTCCAGTCTACCATAGCAAAGCCCCCATGTGGTATTACATTGAGAAGGTTAGTTTCAGCTCACTGCCAGACGTTAACCCAGCCGAATGGTCACAAACTTTATTTCAGCAGTTTACTTTTCTTCTTATGTCACCTTTAATCCATTAAGAAGCACCTACGGTGTAAGAATATTTAATACTAATATTTTTAAATCAGTTTTTGTTTTGCATTAAATGATGCAGCACAGCCCACAGGAACAATTTATTTCTCAGAAGTTAATCTTTCATAGCTCACAGATAGATATTGACTATTGTTGTTTTAATTATATACTTTAAAACAATGTCCATTTTTTGTTTTTGTTGTTTTCCAGTAACCGATATCTAAGACCCATTTTTAATTTTAGTATTATTCCTGATTTGTGACAATAACTACAAAATTACATTACAAGCATATTATTATTATTATTAATGTAATAATAATAGTCAGGCAAAGTTGTGTGCTGCACCTAAGGGTTGGAAATGTATTTTAGTCTTTGTTTTCGGCTGTCTAATTATCTCAAATGCTACATGCTACATGTTTCCTGACTTTGAGTATGAATAGCTGTAAAAGGTTATGTAATTATGCAAACAAAGTTAATTTTCTGTCATTTTATTTAATCTGCTGTTCCAATATTAAATTAACGGCATTCTCAGTTATTTCAGTTCTCAGCTGTCTCAGTTGTTCCTTCTAAAATTAAAAACAAAAATAAATGTGTTGTGATTGCAGACTTTGACATTGTGACAAATCCATTGTCAATCTTTGGCTCTATTTAATCTTTATTTAATTACTGTCTAGAAGAGACAACTGTTGTTGTTGTTGTTGTTTTTTATTGTGAGAGGTTAAAGTAATCATTATCATTTCTCACACAATGCATATTTGTGTAATAGTGTGTTTTTATTCATTCTGGACTTTTATAGCTTCAAGTGGGAGCTGGATCCTGGCAGAGAGTGAACACTAAAGTACCCATCAGATCTCCTCGCTATGCCGTCTTCGACCTGCTAGAGGGAAAGGATTATCAGTTCCGTGTGGTGTCTGCTAACATGTACGGCGTCAGTGAGCCTTCAGAGCCCTCCAGTACTGTAACAACCCTGCAGTTGAAGGGTAAATCCCCTAAAGAAGCATGTCACAGAGGGCACAGTGCCTCTGATGTATTCACTTAAGATATTGACATGTTGAAATGCATATGAAATGGCATATAGATCTTTGAAGTTTGCTCTGCCTTTGATGTTGTCATTAAGGCAGTAATGATTTTTTATCTGCCTTTCTGTAGTGGAACTAATTCATGCATGATAGGTCGTCAAGGAATTGATTGGACTGGTTGGTGAAATCACCCCTGAAATGAAGTTCTGTGTTCATTCAGGTGTGCCCTCGGCTCCTGGACAAGTCGTTGCAACCAGAGAGACAGAAACTTCTGTTCTAATCCAGTGGGCACCTCCAAAGGATCCCAATAACCTGATTGGATATTACATTGATTCTTGTGTGAAAGGATCTAAGGACTGGACCTCTGCCAATCACAAGCCCCATAAGCAGACTAGGTATGTGCTTAGCCTAGGTGAAATGATTTGAGGTGCTTCCCACGAATAGGGTACGAAAGCATCTGAAACTCAGGTCTGAGATACTTTTGAAAAGATTTGTAACATTTAATGAACTTTAAAATAAAATAAAAATAAAGGGGTTGCCGATTTAACCTGTTGTCATCCTCCAAAGGAACTAATTAAACCTTATTCAATATTACATTGATTCTCGTGTGAAAGATCTGAGAACCGGACCTAAGCTAATCACAAGTAGACCAGCGCTGTGTTTCTCAAAGGCATTGTAAGCCTATATAGATCATAGAGGCTGTTGGTGCCAATGGCTTTGGGAAACACAGCCCATGTATGGGCTCACTCTAGGTGAGCAAGCTGTTCTCATTCCCAGGCATCAAAAACTGAAGCAAAAACTGGTCAAACAGCTTGTGTGTTGAAATAAAAATGCTATTTTGTCTCTATATTGTTGAACTAGGAGCTATATTGATATTGGAGCTGTACTGACTGTATTGATGAACTAGGAGCTACATTGCTTTCAAAAGTTTGCCTTATTCATCTTTTGTATGGACATTCAGCAAATTATTGAGAACAAAGTACATTATTTATGTGGATTTAGCCATTCAGGTATTTAAAAATTAAAGCATTTGCTATTCAGCAGCATTTAGCTCACATGAACACTAATCTCTATGATGGTAACTTTAAATAACCCATTATCCTTCAACCAAATTCATATTTAACTCACGTATTACACAAGCAGAACTTGAAACATAATTATATTTATAAATGACAGTTAAAACCATCCCCAAAACAGTGCCTAAACCTTATTAAATTAGTAATTCAAATACAACAGCCAATGGCAAGTCCCCAGCAGCAGATCTTTCAATATATTTTTGTTAGAAGTAGGTGTGTTTACTAAAATAGCAGATTTAGCATAAAATTAATACACCTAATGAAGCCTAAACTAAAAAAAAAAACTCTAAAGCTTCTGGAATGATCACAAAATGTTACACACTTTAATTACAGTTTAACCTAATTTTTGAAATAACCTTAGTATTTGACATTTTACTCTACATTTGTGTCTTGGGAAAAGTCATGGGAAACCGAAGTAAATCTGATTTGTAGAAAGTGCCATAAAATGCATGATTGTGAATGTGGTAATTGACAAAAATAAAAACAAAATGTGAATACTAAATGCCACTGGAAAACCAGAAAGCTTGCATCAGGAGTTTGTGTTGCTGGCATGTTTCTTCTGAGGATGCTATTCGGTAAATAATGAAATGGAAACTTCCTCTTTCACTGCCTCATTACTGGGTTCTCACAGGTTTGTTGTGCATGGACTGACCACCGGTGAGACGTATGGCTTCCGTGTTCAAGCCATCAACGAGCTGGGTCTCAGCGATGAATCCCAGGAATCGGCCCCTCTTTCTGTGAGAGCCGCTCTTAGTAAGTCTGCCTTTCACAACCCAGTCTCCTTTGATATCCATCAAGAAGCCATTTATTTTTATCCCTTTCCTCTTGCCAAACACATTCAAAAGCTATTTTTCAGCAGTTGGTGTTTGGTATTGATAAACCCATGGTGTACAAATGACAAAAAGAAAAGCACCTACCAGAAATGGCCCACCAGACTTCTTTTTAATGACTTTACAACAGGCTGGAAAAGGTCTTTATTTATCTTTATTCATAGGGAGTGCTCAGGAAAGTTGCCACACAATAACAACAGGAAAGATTAATTCTAGACGTATATATATATATATATATATATATATATATATATATAGAATGTGTGATATATACAGTTACCGTGATATAAAATTATTGATAGTCTAATATAACCATCACACAATAACTACATAAGATATCATACCACCCACCCCTAGTAGACAGTTACATGAAAGAGGTTTTAAAAATCTTTATATTTCCCTCAAACCTCATACCATTTGCTAAATTGGTTTAATAATTTATACCAAAAGAGTTTTTTTCTTTCCGTGTCTCTGTGGGACACTTAGTCAACAAGTAGAAATGATTTCAGCCAGCAGACCATTAAATTTTTACAGATCTGGATGATTTGTAGAGCTGTTTGCTTTGTAAGTCTTTAGCTTTAGCTAACAGCAATCCTCTGTTTGGACTCTGGGGGACAATTCCATACTCGGAGACTTCAAAAGATGAAACTTTTTGTCCTAAGAGTGCAGGCCTGTCTGTAGTACAGAGCCAGTCGAAACAATGGTTAGGAAATTAAATTAGATGATTTCTTTCAATTGATTTATTAGATGGAATTAGATGTTTTAATAAAGCAGCTCTGATATGGTATAACTAATCTCATACCATTTTTTTGCTATGGACATTATTGATAACTTGTGTGGCTTGAGGAGAGTGTTTCATTTACTGTACTTGCCAGTCAAAAACACACCAAAAAAATACTTTTAATGACATTTTGGTCAATTGCAAGGTACCGTGGTATTCTTTGTGTATAATGCAGTCCCATAATGCTTTGAACTCAGTTCAAGATGGCTAAAAAATAGGTTAGAAATATAATTATTTCATTATCAAAATCTCATTAAATTAGATTTTTTAGACAGAGTCTAATTAAAATAAGTTGTTCAGTCTCATTAAAAATAATCCACTTTTTTATTAATTTACTCTCTATTTACACTACTATTCAAAATTTTGGGATCTGTTTCCAAAGGAATTCTCTTTTGTCTGCATTTAGTTGATAAATAATACAGTAAAACAAGTGTTATTACAATTTAAAATAGCTGTAGTTATAGTTTATAGTTTATTGTTTTTCCACATATTTTAAAATATAATTTATTCCTGTGATGGCAAAGCTGAATTTTAAGCAGCCATTACCCTTGTCTTTGCTGTCACATGATCCTTCAAAACATATTTCTTATTATTATCAATGCTGGAAATAGTTGCGCTGCTTAATATTTATGTGGAAACGGTGATACAATTTATTTTTCTAAAAGTTCAAAAGAACAGCATTTATTTGAAATACAAATATCACTTTTGATTAGTTTAATGCATCTTTGCTGGATAAAAGTATTACCGTTAAAAAAAACAAAAAAACAGGCAGTTATTTATGTAGGCAGTAGATAGCAAAGCAGCTGTTTCAGAATAAAGCCCTAAATTGTCTTGTTAAAAAACACTGCCATATTTTGAGGCTAATGCATTCCACCCTCCTATATTACACCTCCAGACACAACGCTTCTCTCAGAAATGTGCATATTATAAGCAGGAGATGAGGCTTGCATGCCAGCTCATGTTCCTCTCAGTCCAAGACATTGAGTAATGCGGAGGACCAGCTAAAGCAATCTGTCTTCTCCACAGAGCTGCCCTCTTTTCCTTATGACATCTCTCTTCTCTACTGTGATGGGGAATCCATGCTGCTCAACTGGAAGCAGCCCCTTCATTCTGGAGGAGCAGATGTCACTGATTATTACATTGACAAATGCAATGTGGCCAAGAAGACATGGAAGGAGGTCAACGTCCCACCCATTAAGGAAACACTGCACAAGGTGGCCATGTATTGCAGCATCATGTGCATGTTATTGTTATCAGCTTATATTGATCGATTTATAATATGCATAACATAATTACTAAAATGAACTTTTCCTTCTAAAGGTTGGAGGTCTGACAGCTGGGTCAGTGTATCAGTTTAGGGTCTATGGAGCTAATTTGACTGGACTGGGTGATGCCTCGACCCCTAGCTCTCCCTTCAAATGCGAGGCTTGGACCATGCCTGAGCCAGGTAATGCGACATGTGCACATAGTTTTACTTCTAAAATTCGAACACTATTTACAAATTTTCATGTCATTGAACACCCGTATGCTGCTGTTTGTTCTGTGTAACACAAAAGAAGAAATTTTAAAAGGGTCATATGATGTTGCTAAAAAGAACATTATTTTGTGTATTTGGTTTAATGAAATGTGTTTATGCGGTTTAAGGTTAAAAAAAC